TTTCAACTTCTTTTTTATTCGACGCGCATTTTATAATTTTACGATGATACAATGTCACGAGATGCTTGAGTAAATGAATTTTTAGACGTCCTGCATTTTTAGTCATTTTACACACTTTTTGTTACACGTTTGGGGAATTGTACTATTTTTGACAGTTTTTGTAATAGGTATGATTTCACTTTTTATGGGTGGTTCTGGAATTTTGCTGTACGCAATAGGTTTGCCTAATATTTTTTCTAAAAAACTTGTTTCGAAATTTTATATACACGTCCAGGTGTAATTAGCTCAACCATCGAGATATTAACCCTCTGCAATTTGAGCACTTTTTGATACGATCCACTTCAGGCACACTTTTACAGCGGAATTGTTAAAAATCCAAAATTTTCTATGGAAAATAAAAAATTTTGTATTGAAAATAACAAATGTATTTATCTTTGCTTCTTTAAGTTTCTCCGTTGAATTTTACATTTGAAAGTTCTCCATGCTAATTACGGTGCATATTACAAGCGTAGCGACGCCAATAGAACGCAAAGTTATAATTAAGAATGATAAATTATCGAATCGGAAGGTTCCGCTGGTTACGTTAAAATTTCCACGAAAAGAAAGGAGAAAAGCAAGACGGTGCGCCCCTGATGTGCATCGAACGCACACCGATGCGGTGATTTTTCGCAGTGGGTATATGCAACTGGGCCGCCTATGCATATGGGCGCCCTGTGACGTGCATGCGCACGCGTACCACGAGTTTACATACTACACACGTGTTACTATAGATGCTACTACGGCGAGTACTCTGTAATCTGACACAGAGTACGGAGATTGAACCCGACTGAGCGGGACTCGTTGAACCGGAAGTAATCCCACGGGAAAGCAAGATAGGGAAAAAAAAAAGGAAAAAATTGCTCGATTACTTTTGCAACGAATAGTCGCGTAACCTCACAATCACGTCGTCTCGATGAATGTCTCTTCTCGTTCGCGGTTTCCACCTTCGTGCTTCCATCGCTCGCTCTGTGTTTCGTATCGAGCCATTCGTTTAGAAATCAATATATCTTCTTTTTCTTTCTTTCTAATACTCTCAACTAAATTGACGTCGTACAGACTTTCCATAGAGAAGAATAAAGGTACAGAATGGTATAGTCTGAGGAAGAAATATAGCGGGGTCGTAAAATCGGTTAAGCATCGAAGTGTACTCGTTCGACAGAATCTTGAGAAGATAAAGAGTGCATGAAGTATGCCTCGACTTTGATTCAGTTTCAATAGAAAAAAAAACAACACTAACGCTTTAATTCACAACCTCGCTGTATTTCTTCCTCCAACTATACTTCCTCGAACGTTTCCAACGTTATCACGATGAAAGTGAATTTCCGGTGAGCATAATGCAACACAAAGCCAAATACAGAGGAGATAGCGATAAAAATTTTCCCGTTTAATACACACCGCGTACCATTTTGTTTCGCCGAGAACAGGTTTTACAGTGGGAGAAAAAAAAAGAAACGAAGAAAGAGAGAAGTGAAAGAGGGTGGAGGAAATATCAGTGGGATTACACGCGATACGCATCGCGTTACCGCGAGAACAAGTATGTCCGGTAATCTGTGAGCTTGCGGATTGAAGAGAAATCGGGCTCGACTGCTGACCCGGAAGTAATCCCCACGAAAGAAGATAAAAAACGTAGCCTCGCTACTTGTACAGCCGGATACTCGTAACCGTGCCACGAGGCATTACCACCCCTATATAGAATGTACACTCGAAAAGACCTTGTGGGTTATTTCAGATGGACGTGCCATGAGGGTATTGTCCGATTCGAGATTCGTCGAGTGCCGATCGAGCACTCGAGCGGAGCTTTATTGGAAGCTACATGTGCGCGTCCGTTCTCTCGAGCTACGTGTACAACTGTGTACTAGGTGTTCCGGAAGTTTAGCACGTTTTTCGAGCGGCAAACCTTAGAAATACCACCGCGTATCGAATTTTTACAGACAGAGGCACCGTACCATTTTTCGATTATACAACGAACCTTGAAGAATGCGGTTATCGTTTCATCGGAACATTGTGAAAGTGTACATATTTATGAGACACCTTACAAGTAGCGGGAATAGTCTCCGAACGAAATTAGACGAAGAAATCTTCACTTTGTTCTGAAATAAACGGAAAGCAATTAATGTCGTACGAAGGAAAAAGCTCGTGTACAGTATGAAACTCATGGAAATCCACGTGGAACGAATTACAAGCCACAAATATGTACAGTCCTTGGGGCCATCTACGAACAAACGAGCGATCGGTTCTAATCCCAAGGTAAAATTTCGTGGAGAGGGCGCGATTGACCTTGGAACGCGTGAGAAGCCTTTCAAATTATCCCACGAAGTAGGTCAAACGTTAAACGTTCATCCGCGCGCGCGCTGCTACGCAAAGAAATAGAGCAAATATTGCGCTCTGTAATCAATTAACGATCCCCGGTGCGCGCGAATCAACCACGCACACCAGCACAAAACGACAGCCACGTCCTTTTCGCGATCCACGCTTAAACGTGACTCATTAAACGTATCTCCAACCCGCGGTTTATCTTTCAATCTCTCGCGAACACTTTCTTCCCCCTTCTTCTTCTTCGCCTCGGCGAATTCACGCTTCCTACCTCGTTGAAATTATTTCCTTTAACACAACCGGAGGTGGTCCATAGTACGAAGATAAAGAAAGACAGTGAGAGTCGGATGGAAGAAAAAAAGAAGGAGGAAAAGAGCGTCTCTAATCCTTCCCATCGTTTAATCCTTTTCCCAACGACGGAAGAGAAAAGCAAGAAAAAAGAAAAAAAAGGAAGAATCGCTTTCAGGGGCGAAGAAAACACGGTGAATTTCGAAAAGCGCGAACCGTCCATCCGGTCCCGCGTTTTTACCCCACGAGGAACGCTCGCTCCCTCCGGCATGGGGAAACGATAATCCAGATAAGCCGCTAAATGCTAGCAATTTGAGCGGCGGGATCTCCAGAAACAATATTCCGTACTTGAAACCAACTAATGCCGGAGTAACTGCCCTGCTGGCTCCTTCTGTGTCTACCGGGTGTTCCATTACAATTACTCTTCGTACGTTACATTCGTAACAGTTCGTTGAGATTTTTGAAACCGATAGACGAGACTCGTCTGTCTGGTCTGATTGAACCTCCTTTACAGGACAACCTCTAATAAACAGATGTACCAGCATCTTAGAACAACAAAAAGTACTATCGATCTACGCGTCTCGTTCAATTTGCCATGGAAAATCGCGACGCTCTCGCCGGGGGTGGTTCCCAGTCGAAAATAAAAATAATGGCGTGTCACGGCTAAACGGCCAGGAGGAACTGACGGCGATGCAGGAAGAGGTGAGGGACGTTGAGGAGATAAAAACAGAGAAGACAGAGTGAATAACAAAGGAAGCGTGGAATAAAATAAGGAAGAGAGAAACAGAAACGCGAGAAGAAGGGGGAGATCAGAAATAAGAGAGAAAATGAGGGAGAGAGAGAGATAGAGGAGTCAGTGATGCGGAGTGAAAGTCCTCAAGTAAAAACCAGGCCAGGGCTTCGTATCTCGACGCGAACACACCAGGGCCATTATGCAATTACGGCGACGCATTTGCTGCCGTCTTTCCGCTGCTGCCATGCCACGTCCCCGTTTCCCTTAACAATTTACCTTCTAAATCGCTCAAAGTTTTGAAATTACCATAACCACCGTGCCGCCGTCGATACGCGGCCAACGTTATTCCCGACAATTAACGACAGCCCTGTTTAATCGACTCGCGCGCCCCACCGAGCACCACCGTAGATCGAACAATCGTAGTCGATCTAACCCCCGTGTGGGTCCTTTCGATCTCTGGTCACGAATTCGTTCGCGCGGAGGCGGTCGCGCGAAACGTAAATCGACGCTGTGGAAACATCGAAACGCTTTTTAGAGGGAACGGGGCTCGAATATCGAACCGCAGCCGTGTAACGATTCGTGTCGAATATCGCCGTGAGTGTATATGAACACGTGTTACGTATTCGACGCACTTTCCCGTGCATTATGGCTGTATTGTACGCGAGAGAACGAGCTACTTGCATAATTTCATTTTTTGTATAATGGTTAATTTCTGAATTCTTTTACGTGATCGTTGAATAAAGTTTTACGGTCAAGATTCTTTTTAATTTGCCATTTTTATAAAGTGTACCAAGACTGGTACAATTTGTGAGGCTTAAGGCCCGTCGACCAACTATCGCCGATGTTTTCCACTAGGAGTGGGAAACTAATGACTAATCTCTGAATTTTTTGTACGTGATGATTGAATAAAGTTTTTGTGGTTTACGTTCGTTTCAATTTCTTTCTAATCCCCCCTCTTAGGACATACTGCGATACAAAAGTACAATCGCTGGAAACACTGTACCCCGACAGTCGATTGAATGATTTCCACTGTGATTGGGAAATAAATGACTGAAACATTTTTTCTGTCATAATGACGAACAGTCAGTCGACCAATGGAATCAATTTACAATCACTTGACGTCGTTGCCTTATTCGCTAGGATAAATCTCAGCGACAGTTGATCGACTGTCTGAGTACAGTATTTCCAGAGAAATTCAGAAAATTTAATTTACTCGATGGTCAGTTTCTGCATCTTCGAGTAAAGCAAGCAAAAAATAGATAGACACATGTTATTAGCGTACGCGTGAACAATACAGAAGCAGCGTATAATGATCGCGTAAGATTGATGTCTTCCCATGGAACCTGTAGTTTCGCGTCACAATAAGCCAGTTACACAACTCACGCACATGTACGCACACACAAGGCACACGTAAATAGCAGTTTTATTAAGGAGAAATGACTTACTGAAGTGTGACGTGGTGTAAGCGAACAAAAGCAGTCCGGAAATGAGCCGCAGTGACGTCGCATCCATTTTTCGGTTCCGGCTTCCGTTGGCCCGAGTCCTCTCTTCTCTCCCGCTTTATCGTTCACGCGAAGGATGGCACATGTATACACACACGAACCACACGCGCGCACTTACGTTTGATCTGGAATTCGAAAAAAAAGGAACACTGTTTCAAGCCTTTCAATGATCCCACGCGAATATTTCCTCAATTTTTTCGGGGGGAGGGTTGGTCGGTGGAAACGACGCGACGTTCGTTTTGCTCTCTTTTCTCTCTTTCACGTGTGCTGTCGAGCTGTCGCGGTCAGAAAATCTTTGTTTTTTAGAACAGCCCCGGCTTGAGGATCCTTGAGAACCTTTCCGTCCGGGAACCGACACACTGTGTTTCAGACAAAGGTTCCGCGTGTGCGTGCTTTACTCCCGCCGGCTTCTTGCTTTTTCGGGGATTAAATACTCGAAACGTTAAACAGTCTGTGGTACTAATGGAAGTGGAAATTGTTTGAAAAGTTTCTCCGTGAAAAATCTGTCGAAAATTCTAAAGGAAGTATTCGATTACCGGGAATAATTTGAAACAACAAAAGAGGAATGACCAAAGTCACTACCAGATTGAACAAAGGAAACGAAACTACCATTCGACACCAGGTAAAAAATACCAGGTGTGTATATAGATGTATATAGGAACAATTGCAGAGAGAAACTAACCGAAACGAATTGTACCAACACTCGAGTTGAATCGGTGGAAAATTAAACGAGAGGCAACGGAGTCCCTATGGAACGTGTTGACTATTGACCGAGACAACGTCGACTGAGCAGAAATTCGCCATCAAGCTGCCGGCACACCTTTCCCGTACAGGCTACCGGCTTTGAAAAAACTGCCGTACAGTGTACATGACCTCGAGAGCCCACGAAATGCGCTGGTACTTTCTATCGACTCGCTACAAATATTTTCCTCCGTACCAGTCCTACCCATCGCGATTCTTCCTTGTGTTTTCCTTCTTTTATTTTTTTATTCTTCGTTTTTCTCGCTTCTTCACAGCAGAACGATTCGACACGCGAGAAAATCGCAAGATTTCCAATTTCACAGATGTCACAACGACGGTAATGTCTTTCTCAAGACTTTAAAATCCCGATCCTCCGCGCGTCGAGGTTATGATTACCCCGCGAGTGAAACAAAATGGAGGGAGCTGCTTAATCCTCCAGTTCGTTCTAACGCGTATATTAATGCAACGCGCATAAACATGCTACCATAACTGAAATATTCCCAAATTATACAACGAGAAACATCGGAGGAATTAAGCGAAGATAATCGTGTTTCGATCTGAATATGTTTTTTTTTCAATTCGTGAAATTTTTCAATTTCACACGGTTCACGTATACATGGAACAATTTCACTTCAATTTAGTCAAGAAAGTTTCACCGTTGATGCATATTCGATAGGTATTGCAAAAACGCGACGTAAAAGACGTAAGGGAGAAAGAGAGAGTGAAGCGCCTAACGCAATCCTAGAACAATTAAAATGCCATCGGCGCTATCGTGTCAGAGTTCATTCACACTTTGCATCTTTAATTGCTCGGTTCGCCGTCGAACGAATACCAAGAGGATAGACGGACAGGAAGCGCGTCTCTCTATTTGAACGTGGGTATTCGTGCAGCGGTGTTGTGTTCGACGTCGAAGCTTCCATGCAATGTTTCGTTTCGTCATTGCGGATCGTTCTTTTCGATAATTGCGTCCCCTTTGCGCAATGCGAGCCAATGGGAAAGTGGAAATGGATCGTGTGCTAGGTCAAATCGAACGCGCCATCTTCTTCGAATCGTTTCGAACAGTACTTCAGATGTTGAAATTCTTTTATTACTCTTACGAACAGTTAGTTATTCCGAATACGTATGTTTCACGAAACGCCAGAAAGATCGAGAATGTTTGGAAAAATGATATTACACGCGTGGTTATATATACCTGGCAATAGAAATCGCGCGCGATTATACTACAATTTCCACGCTTTCACCAGGCCATTATTTTTCACCGATGCCTGCTTGTTATTAATGCATCTATTGTGCAGCGCGTGCACGTCATTGTGCGTTTTATGCTGGATCCGATCGTGGCCGTAATCTCTTTCTACCGCCCGAGAGCACACGAAAATCGACTGGCGTTTCCACATCGCTTCGAGAAACAATTCCAATCGGACCGGGGATTCGCGGTCGAGTTGCTTGAAATGCGATACTTATTACTTCTGTCGCGATTCACCGGGTACTTTACGATCCGTCCATGTAAAACGGTATTTTCACCCCGAAAAACAATTTCCTCCTATCGATGCTAGCAACCAGACCTGAACCTCAACTCCGATAATCTTCCTCAAATTTTTCGTACACTTTACTTCTCAAGTAGACTGTCTAACATGATCGTAAAACAGAAACGTACTTAAAGCTGCTACTCGAAAATAGAAAGTCACTGGAAATACACTTGAAGAGTCTTACACCTCCTCGCACTTTCGTTTTTCCAAACGATTTTCCACAAGTTACTTCAACAGACCTCAGACATCTAGAACCCAATACACGTAGGAACCTGTTATACAACAAACCCCTCTATCAACTTGACGCAGTAGTCATCTGCATCTCCCTCAGCAAGATTCACTCTAATCCACCGAAAAAAAAAGTGGTGCAATCGAATGGAAAAATTCAACGAATCACCGTGTTACACCAGATACAACCTCCAGGATATGGAAGGAAAATCTGGTATCCCGAGGATCGGTGTCGGAAGAATCGCAGCACGACGGTCCCTCTTCGAAGAATACCGTTCGACGAATAATTTCTGGACGAACAGTTGCAGCAGGACGAATGCGAGGTGTAAATGTGGCAATTATCCCGCGAAAAGGGCTAACCTGTTCAGCTACGCTGGGCGCAGCGCGGCGCGGCAGAGAGAGCAGGGAGAGCCCGCGCTAAGCTCGCTCGCACCGGGTGCGTAGAGCGCGCGTTTTCGGACGTGGAAGGACTGACTGGGGTTACGCACGTAGCGTACACGGCTCCGGGACATGTATTGGCGGCCAGGGAAGCTCCACCTATCGCGTGGCAGAGTGGGAGGGCACAGGGACGACCTCGAGCTTGCGCCCTCGATCCATTCCAAGCACAACCCCTTCCTTGGCTTTTTCCCAACTTTCGAGCTTGCGGTGCACCCCTCCGCCGAACCCCTCGTGGAACCTACCAGCCAACCTAGTCACCATTACCGACGCCGGTTCTGCGCCCAATCTCACCCCACCCTGGGGTACCTGAAGAGCTCTAGCCTAATGCGGCTACGACCGCGGCTAGTGATGGGACCAATACCCTCGCGTCGACTTATCGATACATTCGTAACTGTATCGTTGATTGTTATCGCGGGATACAACGCGAAGGAACGGTGTTGCTATTGTGATACCAGGTAAATAAAATCGGGTTACAGTGGTAACGTTGGATGGAACACGTGGGTTGAAGCAAGTTTCCAACGGTGTTAGCTTGTTTTAGATTCTTTCGCACGTGGGGGAAACATCGTTTGGACACGCGTAGGAGGATGTATCGGTGTATTAGGAAGGGTATGAATAAAGGGTGTAGAGATTGTACTCGATGAAGGGTTGTTTTACTTGGTAACTTGGAGATTCTTAACGCTAGAAGAACCGCCTGACTCGTCTCGCTTTCCCAAAGTGAAACTTTTTCGATAAATATCGAAAGTTCACTTTTTCGAGGAGGGGTCATGCTTTTCGGTGTTAGTACAGCGAGATACTAATACCCACGTATAGTCAAATTCCACGATCAGTTACGTTCACGTATGAAAGTCACGTCCCACACGATTGCCGTGAGCAACTTAATAGCTGCGTCACAAAGTATCGAACGTTCGCCACCTACGACCCCTTACTCGGGTTAAAGTTCACGAAGATCGTCCCGCGGGGGTAACGTTTCCTCCAACGTGTCCGAAAATCGACCTACGCGTATGAACGCGTGCACGTGAGGGCGGTATACGTCGCATACCCAGATTCCTCGTAAACGCGAAACTGAGAAGTATCACTCCCACGTTTACGGTTGGCACAATCGAGCTAAATGTAAATCTGGACAGAGAAGCGTTTGTGTAACGAAGTCGACGCCATCGCTAGAAGCTGGATGAAATTTCGACCAGGAGGAATGGACCGCAAGCACGTCGAGGATCTCTCGCCACCGGTACCAGAGAGAAGGGAGGTCAGGCAGAAAGGAGTAAAGGCGTCGTTTGCAGCTGCAGTTGCAGATCGTGCCTTCTTCTAACAAACTGCGGTTAGAAGATTCCCTCTTCCTCTGGCCGGTTTCGAGCAGAGCTCGGACCTCCTTGTCCCCTCGATACGTTTCGTGCTTGTACACCAGATCCTCTCTCACCACCCCCGACCCCCATCCAGCAGCCTGTCTGGTGTTTTGTGTACTTAGCCGGCTCCGTAGCCTTTAATGAATGTAATACGATTTCGTTGTCGCGGCAAAGAATTCGAAATCAGCTCAACGGCTTTATCTGTTTCCACGGCGGTGTCGGTTTCCTCGGTGTGACGGATGAAAAGAGGGAAGAAAAGGATGCGTGAACCTGAGAGAGAGGCGGGTGAAAGGGAGTTGAAACAGAGAGCAGCCGTTGGGAATGATAATTGCGAATAGTTTCGCGGGGTAGCTTGAACTTTTTTTTTTTTTTTCGGGAGATGATAAAAAGATTGAAGTACACGGTATAAAATAGGGATTATACGGAATGGAATTAAATATGAAAATAATCAGGAAAGAGGGTGAACGAGTGGTAGAATGAAAAATTGAAAAGAGAGAGCATAGAAAATGGTAAAAGTGAAGTGGTCGCGAGAGCTTCTCGGTGAAATGGGCGTGTCTTGTGTAGCTTTCGGAAAACGGTGATATAAGCAAGCCTAGCAAGAGAGAGAGAGAGAGAGTTGCGCTTGAACGCTGAATGCTCGTGCACGGCGACGAGCGACCGATAGCCCTTTCGATCGCTTAATCGCGCTTCAAACGCACTCGCCTGCAATTTTCGTTTTCGATAAAATCGTTCTCCCCTTTCTGCTCTGCCCCCCTCCACCCTCACTTTTATCGAACCCGTGGATTTTCACTCTCGTTCCAACGTACGGGAGAAAGGTAAAAAAAAAAAGGAACATTTCCAGGC